GTGGCACCTGTGGCTCAAAGGAGTTGGGCACCGGCCCAATAAGCCAGAGGTGGCAGGTTCAAACCCAGCCCCGGCCAAAAAATGCAATAAAATAAAATAAAATAATAAAAGTTGTCTTAGTCCTGAGGAGATGTAGTAAGGGCTTGAACTAAGGGGTGGTGGTAGAAATGGAAGCTGAGTATGGAGGAAGGCATGCCAGAACTCAGCTACTCTGTGTGGAAAGCAAGAGGGAGCTGAGGGTAGGTCCAAAGGCCACGGGAGTTTGGGTCAGAAAAAAGAGCAGTTGGTAAGGTAACAGGGAGTATGATTTTTGAAAGTATAATGCATCCATAATGCCTGGAGGGCATTCAGATGGAGAAACGGTGCAAAATTCTGAATCAAAACTCAGAAGAGAGGTTAAATGTAGAGATAAGGCTTTGGAAGTCATTGACAAAGCAGTGACAGCTGGAGTAGTAGGAGTGAAGTTGCTCCTTCCAGAAGAGACTACACTGCAGGCATCTCTAAAGAACAAGACACGTATAGTACGGCCAATAAATGGAAATCTGCCCTCGTCATAAGAAAGGAAAAGTTAATATTTTTGAATTAACATCTTTGAAGGCTGAGACTTTCAATGTTCATGAACGTCCTCTTCCTATTAAGAAGAAAACATCTATTTAAACATAAACATTTAAAACAAACCAAGTTTCAGATAAGCAGGATAACCAACCAGACTTAAAAGAGACCCATGTTGGCTCTCTCAAAGCTCAGTTCTCAAAGCCCCGTTGTTTTATACGTGCTCCCTAGAGAAAACGTATTAACATTCCAGTTATTTTCGTGATCCTTAATGTTCCATCCTACTTGGGCAAGTCAGACAGTCTCATTTAAATATAATCATCTTACACATGGGAGCCATTAATAATTGCCATCAGTTACAAAGACATCCAGGGAAGAAGTTATGAATTGTCTCGTAAAAGGGCACCTCGTTAGAACAAAAAGCACTCAAGGTAAAGGCTCCTGCTAAAGATGGGCCAGTCAGGGTGCTGTTTACACAAAGGGTGACACAGCCCTTAGGCTGGGCTCTCCTCCTAAGTAAGCCGAGCCTAATAGATACAAGAGAACTTATTTTCTCTTTTCCTATGATCCTTTCATAACTTTCTGTAAACATCTAATTAATATAAATTGTCTGTTAACTGACTACAATTTTATATTACAAATATACGTGTAAAATATTATAACTTTAATCCAATTTGGTATATTTGGGAGAAGAAATACCATGTATACAATTAGAGATATTTATATAAATAAAAGATATACTATGAATTTTTAAACTATTAATTACTTACCTTATATAAAATTGAGATTTACCAACACAGTTTTTACGTTTAAATCTGTATTTATCATATCATAGTTTAAGCAATTAAAGTAAATTACAAAAAATCTCCACTTAGCTCCACAGGTTTTATACTAGACGGTTTCCCACGATTTCCCGAGGAGGCCCAGTTTCTAGGGGAGCGTGGATTTTTCCCAGATGCTGCCATTTTTATGCAAGTTGATGATCAAGATATTTTTGATCGTCTCCTTCCTTCCAAACTTGAAAAGTGGAGACAGAAACAAAAGAAGAAATCAGAAAGGAAAAAACTCATCAAAGACATGAAGGCGAAAATCAAGGTACGGCGCATCCAGGAAATGTGTATGGGAGGAAATAAGTCCAGCCAGTGGATGGCGCCTGTGGCTCATGGCGTAGGGCGCAGGTCCCATATACCGAGGGTGGTGGGTTCAAACCTAGCCCTGGCCAATAATGCAAAAAATATAAAAAATAAGCCCAGCAAGTATTTAAATTATAAAGTGGTCCTCACAGAAATGGAGTTTTCTAATTTTAATACTACAGTGAGTATGAAAACGTTTTTCAGTAAATGCACAGTATTACAACTCCTTTTTTTTTTTTTT